TGGGGCCAGCAGCGCGCCCGTCAGAATCCCTAGGAGAACCAGTAAGCAACCCGGCCACACGCTGTCCCCCACAACACCCTTGGGGACCCCGAGTCCTCAGGGCCCGTCTGCCCGCTCCTTCCCCACACTCGGTTCATCGGGTGCTGAGACAGTTTGGGAGGTGAGGGGTGGCAGGGGGAACTAATTCCTCGCGAGTCGTGCAAAATCAGGGGAAGGATAAGACAGGAAGACAGAAAAGACGTGGAGAAATATGTAGCAAAACCATCAATTTGGATCCCAGCCCCCCATGCTTGTCCAGGGAAGCTTGCTTTATGAAACCCTCCATTGATCTCAGTTGTGTGTGTCATAGAGTAGAATTGTTTTCAAAATTAAGTTGTTTTCTCAGATTCAGTTAACGTTAAGTGATAGCGTATGAACAACAGCCCAGCCGGTGTTGCTCAGTGGTTGAGCGTGGACCCAAGAACCAGGAGGTCACAGGTTCAATTCCCAGTCAGGGCACATACCCTGGTTGAAAAGAAGAAGGGAAGGAGGAAGGAAGGGGAGGGGAGGTGAGGGAAGGAAGGCAGGAAGGGAGGAGGGAGGGAGGAAACCAGTGTGTTCATAGATCCCCTTGGCAGCTAACATGTGCCCCACTGTAAACAGAAGGCGCTGATCATGACGTGTGGTCCTTCCTGCTCTGAGAGGAGGAGCAGGGTCTTGCTGTGGCTGGTGATGCAGGAGCCGTAGTAACCAGCTGTCTCTCACCTCGACAGGTTCGGACACCAGGGGCTCCCCGTCAGCCATCGCCAACGTCCACCCCGTGTCACGCTACCTGCTGGCAGTCCTGTTCGTGGCTCATGTCCTGTGGTGATAGCACCTCTTTTTTATTATTTACTGCAAGTTAATTGGTTACAAAAAAAAGTGCTTTCATGAAATGCAGTGATTATGCATGGTTTCCCCCCACCCCCAACTCTGTATTTTTAACTTTCTACGCAGGTAAAATACAAATGTAACTCAAAGATAAGCAGTACATCCTTTTAGGGGAATCTGAAATGCCTTAATACTTGATAAACCAAAGGACTTTATATATATTATGTATTTCAGACTTTTGATACAGAGGGTATCCCCCCAAAATTCAACACACGCGTTGAATAACTATAAAGGCGGTGTTTATTAAAATACATTTCATTCTCAAAATGGAGCTATGGGCTGTGGAAGGGGGTACGCATTTTCGGGGGGACACCCTAGAGGTGTCTGTAAGCGATGGTTTTACACACTGCCTGTGGGTGAAGACTCCCATCCTCCCACGCGGACACACGTCTTGTTTGTTGTGTCTTATTCATGCAGAGAAGCTCATTGAGTCCAAAAGTTAGGTTCCCCGCCAGAGCAGCAGTGCTTGGGAGAGTTGACCAGTGTTATTTTGAAGGGGTCAAAACGCCTTTAGAAACTGCCCTGTCCTGAAGAGGGCGCATGGGATTCGAAGGAGGGTTGGAAAACGCTGCCCTGGGGGCCCCAGGGGGGCTGTTTGGCCCCCGTGTCCTAGGGAGGGGGTGGGATTCTTCCCACGCCACTTTGCCCAAAACTCATCTGTAAACCGTGGGGACGGTCTCACCCCCCTCACCTGCCTCGGCCCCGGGAAGGACTTGGAACAGAGAAGGAAGGAGGCGTGAGCGGGGCTGCCTGCCCCGTGCAGACCGCGGTGCGAATGTGTTGACAGCAGATGCCAGGACTGCGGCGCTTTCACAGCCCGCAGCCCATCCCAGAGCGGGCTTTTGTTTCATTCAAAGACGCTGTGAAATTGGAAGGGTCACACTTTCTCCTTCTCAAAAATTAAAAAAATAATAATAAGCATGACTTGTGTCCTTCACGCCTAGGAACAAGTTGCAGCTTTTATTAAAACCCCGTGGGCAAGAGAAGGAAGGACCTGAATCTCAACCCAGACATTAAACAAAATCCACACGACTTTTCATTTCCAATGTCGGGTTCCATTAAGAGGCCCTCTCTTTTTGGGGTGACAGAGACGGGCTTTTTTTTCTTAAATGAAATCCAACGGGTCTATCTGAGAGAGCCGGGCAGGCTTTTTAGTGCCTGCGGTAAATTTGTAATAGAGCCGGGCGAGGCAGCTGACTCTGATGTGTGCGGTTTTCAAAGGCTTTTCAAGGACGCGACTTCAGAGCAATATGCAGAGAATAACGTGAAATCCGCAGATTGAGTGTCAGACGAGGCAAAAACAATTTTTTACCTCTCTTTTTTTTTTTTTTTTTTTTTTTTTTACCAATTTCACATTTTGCAGAAACTTGTTCTTCTCTGCAGAATTCTCAGAATTTGAAGCCAACAGTTTCATGTACCAGAAAGCATAAAGCCTGGCTTTTACGTTTAGAAATTTCATTTAAGATAAAGTCGTCCTACGCAGAGGAGAAGAATATTTATCACTCTCTCCGCAAGGTCTGTATATACTGTAAATACCGAGAAAAACCTAACCGTCGCTCCTTCGGTCAAAAACAGAGGCCGCGCTCTCTCCAGCACCTGTATGTGCAGCCGCACGTAATGGAGCGGTACCTCTTTATGACGTAATGATTCCTATGCTTCCGTTTTCAGCACCATTGCTCTGTGTCTATGGCGTTTCTAGCAAGATATCTCCATGAGATTTGTACATTGTTTCATATTGAAAAGTATAAAAGGTACCTTTACATTGCTGTGTGTGTATCCTATGGTTATCTGTATGTATTCTTTTCTATCATTCTAATAAAATTTATAACAATCAAATGCCTGTCCGTGATGAATGAGGGGATGGTCCAAAGGAACATTGAAAGGGCCCCGGAATGATTCTATTTTTCCCGCTTCTCTGTTGTAACAGGATGTTTTAAGAAGTATGTGTGCCCCCTGTCGACGGAGTATGCCCAGCCTGTGAGACTATGCCCTCTCTAGTCGAGGCATAGCAGGTGCGGGGAGGGAGGGCAGAGAGGGGAAGCAGAAAATTCACTTTGTAGAATGATGGTATTGAGTCTGTTCTGGCTTTATTTGGTTGATGGCAGCTACTTGTATATTTTTGACAAGTTTTTTTTTTTTTAAAGATTGGCATCAATTTGCCGGGCCCTGCATAGACTTTCTCTCTGGTGTTGGGGTTAGAGAGCCTGGCTTTTAAGCATCCCTTGTGATAGAAAAGGTTCTAAATATTTGAAAAAAAATTCACTAGAAAAAAAGATTAGTTTCTGACTAGTACCGGGACGTAGAAGATGATATGCCAGCTCTCGGTAGAACTAAACTGTCCTACCAGATTTTCCTTTGCTATTTATACACTTTTATAGGAAAATAAATGGCTCTTACAGAAAGACCACACAACGCAATGTAAGCCTTCATTAGCTGGCCTCGCCCTTCGTGGCCCAGCTCCTTCTCTCCCTGCCTCGTGAGCAGCCCTCATCCTGACTTTACAGGAACTGTTTTTCACCCCCAAATATGCATCCTCAGACGCCTCAGTCTCGCCCCTCTATTTAAATCTGATCTATCTCCTAAGTTTCTCTTAACCTACAGCTCTCCCTCCATCCTTTATTTTTAACTCGCCATCTATCAGCACAATACATCTCATCACTCTTGGTGGTGTTGGCTTTGCCTGTAAATAAATTTGATGGCTGCCCGTGGGTAGCTCCTGTCTGTCCAAAGACTCATGGATCACCCTTTAAACCCCAGCAAGTGACTCTGACTTCCAGCCCGCACCTACCCCCCCCCCACGCCCCCACAACGTGGAAATGCCTCCATCTGTATGTATGTTCATGCCCCGTGGGGGCACAGAAATTGCTTGGAAATAAAATTACAGTTTATTTAAGAAAGTTGATTGACTAGGCACAGGGGCTGCGAGGTGTCTCCCAGGGGCAGCACAGGAGCCCCGAGGTTGGTAAGGGACAAAGGGGTGCTTGTTACCGCCTCCCAGGGTGTCGCCAGGGGTAGAACCTCTGGTCGAGCAGCCATCCCCCCGGGAGCGGCCATCCCCCCGGGGTCGCGTGGCGAGGGCAACACATCGCCAGTTCATGGGCATCCCAAGAAAACCCGGCTTCTGCTTTCGTGGGTTGGGGGCAGGGCCAGGACGTGCCCTCTGAACGCCTCCCGGGTGGGGTCCACGCTGCCTGCCATGGAGTGCCTCTGGAACGCGAGGGCCCCCCTCCAACTGGCCCGCGGGGTGGTGCATGCAGCTTGCTGTGGAGGCCTCCTGGGTAGTCACGGGCCAGTGTAGGGGCATGGAGTGTGCGTGCCAGGGTAGCGGCACCCAAGACTGCGGGGCGCCTACAGGTGGGAGCACAGGTGCTCGGATGCCAGGTAGGAGATGGAGACATGAGAAGCCGCAGGCACGGACAGGAGAGACTATGGTAGACCGAGTAGCCATTGCCTCTACAGGAGCCATCAGACAAAGTAGCTCTTCAAAGCGGCCGCACACTGCTGGTCAGTGGCACCGTAAACGCACGCTCACACAAAAGAGGCCTCGTGCCCAATAGTGCCCCTCGTGCTACGTTAACGTAAACAGGTTCCCTGAGGGTGCGCCTGCGTGGTGCGTGTATTGCCACCACTGAGTCACTGCCCTCGCCCCTGCGTAGGGCCAAGGGGCCTTCACCTGGTGATACTGCCGTGTCCTTGCCTGCACGCGTGCGTATGGGGAATCGGCCTTGATCGTTGGTGTGCTCTGATTAGGGTTCCCACAGTGCCCCGGCGGAACCCCGAGGGAACTGCGTGTGTTG